AGATACCGTTCATAATCGAAATCTGTACCTATAGATTTCGAACTATTAATGAAAAAAATAATGCCAATTTTTTTTAACAGTACAACGATATTTAATTTCCAAACAAAATATAAATTATAAAAATCAAAAACTGTTTTCAATAAAATTTTGTTTTATACTTTATCCTGACATTTATAATAAGCGTCATTAAAAAAATTTTAACATATAAAATTATATAATAATAAACATCGTTTTTACAGAGTGTAAGGTGGTAATAATACTCAACGATAAAGAATTTATTAAAAGTCAAAAACTAATAAGATATGACCATTATTTTTAGTAGCCATCATTTTTTAATATGCATCTGCATTTAACTGGATATCGATTAACATAATCAAAAAAGCTAGGTATCTTTTTTATGCAATCACGCAATATTTACAAAAATAATTTTTTCTGTATGGAAAAAAATTTTTTAATTCACGTTCACAGTAATCATTTGAATTTGCAAGTCTAACATTGTTACACCAAGTAATCACAGTACTTTGCTTGCATAAAAATCCGACCTGCCATGACTATATCGTTTTATCCATGTAACTGATGGAATAATCACTCGCTTATTAACATAGTTTAATAATTATCCACATTGGTTTTTTAGTTGCATCTACATCCACGCAAGTAATTTGAGTAAGTTATCATATAGTCAGTAAAAAATCTAATCAGTCAAAAAAATCCAAATAATCGTTTTGCCCTGACATAAAATGGAACAACTCGACTATTTTCATTGCACTAGCCAAGAATGGATTTGTGTAGGATTAGTATCAAATTTTTCATCGCACTCGAATGATTTCCTTCTGTTTCCACACTAATAGAATATTGGTATTTTTATGAGAAGGCACTTTCTTCAAATTCACCTTCCTTGAAGACGAGAGCAATATATACGTAAATAAGGTAAACGTTCAGAAGCATAAAGTCACCATTACACACCGGCGTGACGAACACACATGTCGAATCACTTCCAGATTTGTATGAGGCCATCACAGCTGCCAGTAACGATGTTTGTATTCGACATGGTTATCGCGGAGATGCTGTCGTGATGACCAGTACGCGGTGGTTCCGGACCTTGACCGCAACCTTCTTCCATTGTGAGCTTGCTATGGCTCATCATTTGTTTTGATCCACTAGTTGCGCTCGATTCGACGTCTCCACTCGCCAGCACTTCTTGTACTACGTGTGTACCATCTACAAGTCTATCTCTGTAAGGGAATAAAGTCACAGTTCAAATTCAATGTAGCTCCCGCTAATGATCAAAACAATTAAATGCCAAACCACCTACTCGTAGCACAAAGAAGTCGGTACAATCGTGTCATTGGCAGCAGGGAGCATGACAAAGGATTCAGTAGGTTTCGATAAGTTCCAGTAGCGCACCCGCATGTCCGTGCCACTAGCCAGCAGGAAACCCGATTGATTGCAGTAGGCCGTGTGCATGGCACAAACGCTGTGACCACCTTGTGAACGACTCAGAGGTGGCGCGCTCGAGGCCCAAAGTACTTGCCGCCGAGACTTGGTCTCCAGATCCCACATGGATATCTCGTTGTTACCCTGAACTGCCGATATCACCCACGAATGCTCCGTTGGATGCGTTATTACTTTCCTAACCCGAGCATCTGTTGGATATATTTCAATTTAAAAAATGGTCTACTCGCTACTTTTTATAAAAATAAAAAAAAATTAAAAAAGATTTACTTACTAGACGGATGTTTGATATTAGTGATAGCTAATTGGAATCGTAGATCCCAACCAATGTGTACACCTGAACTAGTGCCCAAAGCCAGCCATTGCTGATAGTTATTTATACAGAAAGAGGTGATGACGCCATACTTCAGATCGTTTTCCAGACGCCAGGCAACTCCCGGACATCTAAGATCCCATCCAACCAAGTGGCCGTACAGTGTCGCATAGACCAGCATCGACTGCGAGCCTGAATCCAAATACTGTATATCAACTGCATAGCCCTCTTCGTTAGAATCTAGTTGGCGCGCTTGTTGCAAGCTTAATTTGTTCGAGCCTGGCTCAATACGCAGTACAAACACCGTCCCCGCCGTCGGACACGTCGTTGCTAACGACTGGCCCTGTTCGCACGACACCAAACCAATGTATGTACTGTCTTTTGTGTGATACGACTGTCTGAAATTTAAAAATGTTTTTGTCATTTCTCTAGCAATCGTGTGATAATTGCAGCAAATTCTGACAATTACTTGGAGCGATTGCATATGTTCTTGCCCTCCATTTTGCTGATATCCCAAATTTTAACACTACCGTCGGACGAACTGCTGGCAATGAGATTGCTGTTTGGTACGTCAACTATCTGATTGATACTTCCTTTGTGTTCGTGTAAAAACGCTACGTGAACTCCTTTCGGCCTCCAACCGGTGGGTAGAAGATTTGATTCTTAAAAAAATTGAGTTTTATGAAGTCAGCTGATTGATTCAAATGAATTGAATGAATAGTTATTTTACTTTGTTGCCATTCCATATTATCAACGAAATGCTGAGCTTTCACAGCTGCAGCATATTGTGCTTGTTTTCTGCTCTCAAGTTGTTTGATTGCGATTTGGCAGGGAGTATCTTTGTCTAAAAAAACGATAAATATGCGTTTTATTACGCTATAGGTAATTACGAATAATCCGAGCGAGAAAAATTTAGTTTTCTTCTCTACTTACACTGAATATAGGAACGTTCGTGAAGCGAGTGGTCGTTGTTACTGTTCATAGTGTCTGTAAGACTATGCTGCGGCGACATCCTCATGTCACCTACAGTTACGCTGTGGCTCGGACTCCCACTGCTTATTTCTGACATTTTCACTGAAGTCTAGACCCAAAAAAAAAAATAAATAAATAAATAAACTAACCATTTAAGTTATAAAATGATACGCCGTTGAAATGTCCTACCTGACCACTTTCCTGAGCAGCGAACATGTTTCGCCACTCTTGGTTCATTGTAGCGTACGAAGCTCCGTCAGCCATACGACGATCGACCTTTTTTAACGTTGTGGGCATAGGTACGTTGCTCTTAAAATCCGAACTTAGAGTCACACATTTATAAATGATCTTATGCTTCATATGCGAAATATCGATGCGTCCGTCATGAGAAACTACATTTTTCTTTGCATCTGACTTTTGATAATTGCTTATTTTCAATATGTGAGACTTCATCGCAAGCAATTGGTCTTCAACTGTTTCCGTCATATGTTCGGAATTCAAGCGCCTAAAGAGCTATAATTTCATCAATAAATAATTAATCAAGATTATTCGAAAACCACTCAAAGTAAAATGGATGTCGTACTAACGTTACGCAAAGATGTACACATATCATTGTACTGAGGCATAATGCCGGTGGTAGCCTTAGCTCTCGCGATTCGTCTTTGCTCAAACACCTGAAAAAGGTCCTCTATATCGTTGTACTTGACCACAGCGTCAAAAACTGCCCTAGGTATTGGTTGAACCAAGGCCTCAAACACCAGAAACTCTTTGTCTACTTGGAAGAGTTTTTGTTTCAAGTAAGGCTCTATCATTGGATGAACTTTGATTTGCACATCGACGGGTGAGAGCGAACTAGCTGCTGCCGAGACAAATCCGACTGTTGCGTGCCTTATCCATAAATTTGGATGAACCTAAAAAATTGTTTAATGGTATCGAGGTACATTTTTCATTGTTTTGGTAGACTTACCAAAAATATAACAGTTTCCGCTAACAATTGGTACAGAGCCGACTTGTGGAGCAGACTGCGCTTAGTCAACGTAGCCATGGCGTTTATAGCATAAGGAATGACGAATTCCTCTGTATCTGTCAGACCTTGCTGGAGCAAGGGCATGAGTATGGGACTGCAGTGCCAACCAACGTACTCTGCTACGTCGACGATGCACTCGAAAAACGAGCTGCGTAACTCCTTGTCACCCTTATCATTGAGAAACGTAATTAGATGGCTAAGCAGCACGTCGTTTGCTTTCTGCTTTCCAAAGAACCTACACAGCTTGTCCAAGCCGCTCTCCATCAGTGTCCTCTTGACCAAATTATCCTGATCTGCCAACAGCATGGACACCGCCGCCTGGACCATGTCGTGCAAAGTCTGAAGCTCACTGTCGTAATTCCTCTGAGGAGTGTCGTAGCTGGCCTCGTTGTCCTGAAGTTCTTTGTTTTCGGTCAGGGTGCTAAAAGAATTGTCAAGGTAGCGCAGCGATATCTTGGCTATGTCAGCGATATTTTCGGCATAAGCAGCTCGAACGATTACGGAAGTATCTTGCGGCAAGTGAGCTAATCCCGGCAGTATGTATTCAGGGAAGATGTTGATATCAGTAGGCGGCACGTTTTTCACGAGGGTGAGACACTTGGTGAGGGTGTGGATGGCTTGCACGCGAACTCGTGACGATGGATCGTTTATCAGGTGAAGCTGTAATGGGAAAACATTTTTTACTTTTGATTAAAATAATTCTTTAAAGTACATCGAGATGAGCTTACAATGTAAGGTAGAATTCTGTCTAGAACCGTTTCCTCCGATGTTTTCTCAGCCAACTGAATGAGGATCCCTAGAGTTTCAATTTTGGAATCTGGATGCTGCAGACCTCGGATACAAGAGGTTACTAGCTGCGTAATCATAGCTAAAAATTCTTCACCCTCGAGATCCTGCTTTGTTTTCGTAACTTGAATCTCTGGTTTCTTGGAATCGTCCTGAATTTGTTCCTCCTGATTAACGTCTTTGGACTCATCAGTCTTTTTTTCCTTCTCCAAGTTAACGTCTGATTCAGTCTCGCACTTCGTGGATAGTTTTTCTTTGTCATTGCTTCCTATTTTTGTTAGCTCATCACTACTTTGGTCTCTACTAGCGTCTTCAACAACAGTACACTCTTCGCTTTGACCAGAATCCTCTTTGGTTGGCCCACTTTTGCTTTCCTCCATTTCTTCTTTACCAGTTTCTTTTTTTTCATTATTTTGTTCCTTATAGCCCTGTTTGTACACGTCCATAATATTGGCAATGTCAGTCTTTAGGCGATTAATTTTTTCGTCGGGAGTGAGAATAGGCGGCGCAGAAAATATCTGCATGTACGGCTGAAGAAAACTGTAAAAGTACTCGGGAAAAACGGTGCCACGAGCCTGTTCCAAATATATTTCCGCGCTTTTGCGATTAGCAGGATCCCTTTGGATCATCGAAGTCAGCATGTCGCGGATGCCTTCGTCATCAATGTTGTTCAAGAACTTTGTTGGAAAATTTTCACCAATATTTCTGTACCCTGAAAATTTAACGATATTAAGTGTATTTGATTGTAATTTTCTCAAAGCTTAGTAAATCAGATGTACCTAAGAGCCCAGGAAAATCAAAAGGCGGACGTCCTTCGTTGTACAATTCTATTAGTGCACACCCAAGGGAGAATATGTCCATCATTGGATGCAAGTCTCCAATTTTGAGATCCTGATCTGAGAACAGGGCATTGCTCGTATTATCAACTTCGTAAGTTATCGTTCTGACAAAACGTTCTGGAGCTACGTAACATGCCCTAAAAACAGGGATCAGTAGGATATGTTTGAGCACTTTTGTTCATATTGGATTATAAAAATGATTTACCTTCTTCTAGACATGTCGAAAAAATAAGAGAAATCAGCGGGAGTATCTTTAGCAACCACGGTTGGCTTAAAACTAGCAAAATCTGTCAGTAGAATCCAATTCCAACTGGTAATCATAATGTTCTCGGTTTTTATGTCTCCATGACAGACGCCATACTTGTGAGCTTGATGAACAGCACATAGAGCTTGAAAAGTGATCCATTTTTTTTCCAAATTCGTTAAAAATGGCTTTGTGCTGATACGATCATAAAGCGAGTGATGAACGTACTGTCTCATGAGAAAACATGCCTTTTCGCCAACCTATAAAACAATTATAAAATGATGTGACTCTTCTTAAACCCAGGCTTCAAATGATTATTTAAAAATAAAAAACTCTTACTATCCCCTTTTGAAACGGTAAACAGTTGACAGCAGAGGCTAGCTTTGATCTTATTTCGTCAATTTTATCTTTGTAAGGTTGCAAAAGCAAAGCTGGATCATGAATCACAAACACTTTCACCACTATCAGACCTTCTTGGTTCCTAGCTCTGGCCACTTTGAAAAATCTCGTACTCCCCAAGCTGAAAATGATTTTTTTTTTTTTTTCAATTCAGCAATGCTTATAAACCATAAATAATTAAAACCCTCAAAAGTTCTCAATTTAATTTTTGTTGAACATTTTATGAAATATCAAACCCTAACGTGCTGTTACAACAAAAATAGATCCCTGCTACACAATGCAACATCCTCCCCCCAGCTGCGAGAGAGAAAGGTGGTATGACTCTTGAAACAAAACACAAAAAAACTCACCTCTTTTCGAACTTGATGTCATTGTGATCTCGCAAATAGTGTTCCACCGGGTAGATTTCACTCGGCGCGATGCCGACTAGGTAGTTACCCATATCGTCCAGAGAAAGACGATGCTGAATTTAAACAAATGCTATGTGCACCGTAAGTAATACACTCTCCTCGCTCCACGATGGCTTATCTTTCGCGCATTTAAAAGCCAGACAAGTCTCTCAGTCACCAGCTGTTGACCTATTTAATTGAGGTCGCATCCTCTGGCACGCCATCGAAGACGAGCACTTGAAGGATAAAACAACACACTGCAGTGACTTTGTCTAGTTTTTTTTTAGTTTTGAAAATGAGCTTTATTAAGACCTTAAAGGCTTTTATAGCTAAGTGACTTTGTCGTTGTTACAGAGCAGAAGCCAAGTAGGTACTTGTTATTGTCCCGTTAGGATATGAGAGTGTTTGATGGGAGTGTTACACACGTATCGTTGAATGAACTTGTGCGCAAGTAAGTATACAGAGCTCGAAAGAAAAAGCTGCATTCAGGCGAGCGTCTGTTTACGCCATAGCGATTGATTCAGCGATATTGCAAAAAAAGGTGCACAAAAATATAAGGTTAGAGCATCAGCTGTCTGCTTTCGTGTGTGTATGTGGCGCGCTGACTGCTCCCTCCCCGCAACTGCAGCTGATGATGGGTTGCGGGGGCGGGTTCATATGTCACGGGGGATATACTTACTTACGAAAAAAAAGAACGAATGTTTGCTCTTTTCGACACACACGAGTGCACGATAACGCACACTAGCGCAATTTAGAAATCATGCGGAAGGTATGTTGATGTAACTTTGGTTATAAAAAAAAAAAAAATTTATTTATACGGTAAATATGATCTGTGATATTAAAAGAAATAAATAATATACATTGACATACTTATATTTAATCTTCAATTTATCTGCGTACTGTTGGTTCATTTGAGAATAAAAAAATCTTTATGACAATATGGTCTGTTTGGAGCGCGCCTTCACACTTTAACTTCACAAGTGAGATTTATTTTACTTATTCGCCACACCACTTCTTGGTTCTCGGGTAACAGTCCGATAAAGTTCACCATGCATCCAATATATCGGCGTATAAGTATATGTGTACTTTAATTGGCAAGTAAAAACAAGATGCAATAACACTGATTGCTAAAAACACTTTACTTTTTTTTTTTTTTTTTTTTTTAGAAAGATAAAAATTTTTCCCATGTTTTCTTATTTCAACGTATCTTTTTTTCGTATGTACAGGCATTGAATAAGATATACAACCCATCTCTTAAATCACACGTACGAGTTGAACAAAAAAATAGATGCGAAAGGTGAACATCCGCCTATCTAATCGTTAGACGAAGATTTATACTAGAGGTGCACAGTTATGAGGCTAAAGAGATCCGTAAGAGGATCTTGTGGGGGTTTTCTCGATTTAGCAATTCAACTGGACATGGATATATTTCTACAATAATTCTGCCAATTTTAGTTAAACTGTAATACTTACTTCTTTTTATGTAAAAAAGATAAAAAAACCTTTTGTTCTAATAACAAAAAAGAAGGGCTTTTTAATAATGTATAACGTACCGAACGGGAAACTACCGAACAAAGACACGCGAAGCCGAATCATCTACGCCTAATTGATATAACGAAGGATTATCGTCCATCCAGAGCCACCGGCTTTACTGATTGGGAGGATTTAACAAAACTAAAAGTCTAAAGTGCCATATATTCATTGCCCTCTCTAAATTAAACCTTTTTTTTTTTTTTTTTTTTTTTTGTTACCAGCGAAAAAAGTGAGCACGTACAGTACACAATACACAAAACAAAAGTTTGACGTGGAAGATAAAGAACGTGGAGGAATAAGGCCAGTTAAGTTTGAAGACGCTGAGTAAGGGGTATTATATTAGACTAAAACTCATGCCATCTGAAGACCATTGCTTGGTAAGTATGTATACTTACATCATACAAAAGAAATTACTTCGCCATGAAGTTATTCCTCCCAAGCATGGATATATACAATATATATTGCGCTACAGAGGAATCGATATGCACCCACGCATAATTTATAGTTGCCCCCAAGATTCTCCCCGTGACAGGAGGATACATGGATTTTTGTGTCCATTACCCCTGGAATCCGTATATATAGATATCCTCGTACATAATATACACTCATACTGTGTAGTGTTGCCGTTGGGGGTGGATGGCACAGTTTCGACGGAGAAACCAAAGTTTTTCCGTGCAAGTTGAGAAGTAAACTCGCCTGAAAGTACCTAATATATGTACACACGCGTAATAATACAACCGACAGCCGAGCTGTTCTCGATAATATATTCGCGGGATATAATGGTAAACGCGCGATGTTCTTCGCCAGAATCCATCATTCCCACGGACGAGAGTCACGACGAAACTCTCGTGTGAATTTTAATTTCCAAATTGGTTGCGAAAAAATTAAAAACCATCTTTTTTTCCGGCGCAAAACAAATAAACTGCAACGATCGGTCAAGTATACTCAAACTTGCCGAGCTTATTGTATATATTATATATACCCATGCGTGTGTGTGTGTTTTTGTTTGACATATCTTTCCCGAGGCAGCCAAAGAGTTGCCGTAGCCTATATATACAGTATACCTGTACACATACAAACTATACCTGTACCAGCTCATAGGCGCTGGTACAGCACTTTGTTGCGAAATTACGTATATGACCCATACCGATTGCTGCAGGCTGCTGCTGCAGGCGCGCACGCCGCGTGAAAGTTACTTATCCGAGGCTGCATGCTGGACGTGTACGTTATATATACTTACCTACTCGCTTAATATCATCATCGTTTCTGCGAGTTTTCGCGCTGGGCTTCTCGTTCCTCTCATCGGTTCGGTAACCCCTTGGAGTTCGATCGGCGAATCGAACTTTTTTTTTACCATTTACGCAAAGTTTTTTTTTTTTTTTTTTGTCTCATTGTGTGTGTGATGTAACAAAGGATAGGAGGAATGAGACATAAAAAAAAAATTAACGAGGAATCGTCGCTAGGAATGAGGAAAAACCCACACGCGACTGTGCCGATTTTCTACTATTCGGTCGATGTCGCGCGCTTCTCCGTGGCTATTCGGAAATCACATGAGTGAGATCGCTTTTGTGTACGTTGGTATGGGTATTCCTATCGTCCTCACCTTCGTCGCGACGTCTTTTGGATGCAGGGCACGCAAATGATCGGTTTGGATCGGTGACTGTGTTAAAAAAAGAAATCGTAGCGACTATAGCAAGATGATAGTAACATGCATCAGTTGGTCACCGCGAGCGAGTTGAGTCGGATGAATCACCCGAATTGATTATTAATGAGCAGTCGTTCGGTTTCCTTCTTATTTTTGTTTCGTCTACTTGCAGTACAAATATTACGACGCTCCAGCGCGTCGTTCACTTCCGATGAGAGATCGTTTACACCCGCACCCTTGATTATTTTTCGCGGAGCACGTTATACATATATTATACACGTCCATTCACAGATGTAACGGGTATTGGGTAATGAGTATGGAACACTCCTTCCCTACATACGCGTACGTCCAATTGTTAATTGTGTCAACGCGTTGTACTTCTACGTATGTAATATACACACGCAGTTTTACAAATGCAACTTACGTAAGCGACAGTGTGCTTTAAACTAAAATTTAAATGCGGCAGTTGTAAAAAGGTACTTTTCATGTACCGATGCATCACGATCGGTTTGACGGTTTACAGAGAGAAAGAGAGAGACACAACAACCCAAATCGCTCCCGAAGGCCTTACCGATCCCAGACGGAACAAAACGCTGTACGAACCCGAGCGCGCACGCCTTTTATTTTTCGTTCTTTCGTTCTCCTTTGTGCGTTACGGCTTATTGCTCCTTCGGCTTGTTTTTCCCCTTCTTTTTCCAACCACCCGGTGATCTTACGTATAGAGTTAAAACTCTCGGTTGACATTGTTTCGTCTACGATCGTTATTGTACCCTACGCATGGCGACAAAAGTTATATCACCCGTATTCGGTCCCCGGTGGTGATTGTTACCCCACTTGCGCGACGAAACAAAGGTGCGCTTAACTACGATTTTTTGTTTTTTTCCACTGCAAGCACTATAAGATTGAATTTTATGAATGATTCGGTTAACAAAAAAAAAAAAAAAAAGAGCTCAGGTGGTGATGTTTGGCTCAATTTTCGCTCTCGCTATACATGACGCAGCCTCTCACAGACACACATATGTATACGTCTGTAGCCCCTCTCCATCTTCTTACGCACTCCCTGAAACACGCACAGAGGAGAGAAAGAAAACGGCATTCCCTCCTCCAAAAGAGACGCGTGTATATCGCGCGCTCGCCCCGTACGTCTTTGGGCTCTCGATTATCAGTTGCGCGCGAGCCGCCGATGTAGGTACCCATATACTCGCGCGCTCACTTTGCCGCACAGTCTGGAAATCGCCTTGTCGTACAGACCTTTTTTTGTTGTTATTGTTTTTTTTTCGTCTTTTTCATATCACCACATAATTATATGTGCGTTTTTTGTCGCGAGTGATTGTGACAATAGGGTTTTTGTGCGAGGGACAGGATTTTCCATTTCGGTGCGCGTCGGATGGGTCGGAGTCGATGAGAGGATAGCAGGCCGGACGTGCCTTACGGGTCCTGAGCTCAACACCAGCTGAGAGAGAGAGAGGTGCGGTGTGCGGTGTGTGTTAAATATACGTGTATACGTACACATAGTATCGTGAGCGCGGGTGAGTCATTGAATTCGTATATACCTATACTCGTGTGTACTGGAGACGCCGAGCTATACGGACCCGAGTGCCATCGGAAAATGCGTTCTATCATTATTAACTATGTATCGTCATTACGACCTCTATTTTTTCTACTCTGAAAGATACGATGAATTCCATAACTTGGACCAAACTGTATTTTACCGTTTGGCTTACTCTCTTTGTTTCCAAACCAGTTTTCTTTTTTTTCTTTTTTTTTTTTTTTTTTTTTTCCTTTATACTTTTTGCTTGTTTCTCGTGTATATACCGAAAGTGAATGTATATGCACCAGAAAACGGCATATTTGCGTCCAAGTATATATATGCCATATTCCGTTGTCGCTAGTATGAGGTTGTAGGTATATTTTATTGTGCATTCGCTCGTTTCGCGAACCCTCAAGTCCATCGTATTGGGCGCGCGATTGATTAATTTGCCTCGGAATACGTATCTAACACGGCGAGTCTCGCTATTTTTGTTTTTTTGTTTTTTTTACATCTCGTGTTGTTCGCAAACTTTGCTTACTCAGTCTTGCAATGATTTTTCTTTTCTTTTTCCGTCGCTGAAAACCTATATAGTTTTCGATATTTTTTTTTTTTTACGGATACTTGACGCACCGCTGCTTTTGTCGCCAAGATAGAGTCGCATGAAAATACCGTCGTGTGTGTATTCTTTGTTGTCACTTTACTTTAGTAATTACGCCACGATCTAGGAATTCCATTTGTTATCATTTTGTGTGTATGAGTACACGCGTCCACAGAGTCAGTAATAGTAAAAAAAAAAAAAAAAAAGAGTAGATAACTGCACGATTAAACTATAAAGAGGAAAACAATTAATACATTTGTCAATAAATATAATAATTAAACATGAACATCATTTTCAACTGCACTGTGCACATTTAAACCATCAACTGCATATTTTAATAATCGCTACGGTGGCATAAGGAAATTATCTTATGCGACGATTTGACATTGCGCAACAACCAATCACCGGCATAAATTACAAGCGCAAATTGAGCGATCGTAAGTGCAAATCTCTCGCTTCTAAAGCGCGTAAAAGGTTGAGAGAAGAAAAATAACACTTCGGGGTGAATGCCAATCGTATGTTTCTTTTTGAAAAAAAAAAAAAAAAAAAATTTATCCAAAACGTGGTATTTTCAACCATCAAAAACATTATTTTGTCTCCCAACAAGAGCCGCTATGTGCCGGCAATCCAAGAGAAATTTCTCAGCGCGCCACGAGACTAACTTACTTTCATTGAGAGACTCCCCAGAACACAATAGAAGCTATATAACGTGCGGAAACGCTAATTACTTTCATTCCGCGCGATTGGTCGTCAAATTGAGTCAAGCAACTTATTTGTCATAGATTATAATTATATATATAAATAAAATGTATTTGTCTATGATAAGCGTATATTGTTATTATTTTCCGACCCACTAGACGATAGCAAAATGAATTTAAAATCTCGCGGTCGATAAAAATACCTCAGCACTGACTCACGCGTAATAGATTACATATATTATGTTTCTTAATCTTCCTCGTACTCGCGCTTATCCAACGAATTAACAGGGATGACTCGTCGTGTTATATACGTGTACATGGCATCGTGTGCTCCATCGACCGCCCCAACCGATTTTATCGCGAGAAGATCGGCAAAAATCGGTATCCATACGTATACGCACGTAATACATATCTTTGGCAGCGATCAATGAAAAAAAAAAAATATATACATTTTTGTTATCAGCCGCCGTGAATTTGTTCGATGATCAAAAGATCAGCACAACCGTATACGTATACCGGCTTCCGTGTATACACGCGACGGCTAACTTAATTCTTGATCCACGGAAGTGTGGATATATAAACACATGCGCGCACGTAACGTACACATTTTTTTTTTTCTGAATTCCCGAACGGCTACTTAAAACTCTCTAAAGGCTCGATTTTTTTTTTTTTTTTTTTTTTTTTTTTACCGATTCGTGTTTACCCAGCGCGGCTTTTCACATACAAATATACACACGCAAGGAGATGAGGAGGCACCGATCGCGATGCATCAGGGGTTTTAAAAATACTCGTGTTGGCTCGTATCAAAGTAGTAGCATCAAGAGCCTCTGCTGCTGCGCGTGTAGTAATCTGAAGGGAAAAGAAGAAAAAAAAAAAGGTAATTTTATGCCGGTCCAGGAGACGTGCGTGTATATTATAAGCCGAGCCTCGTGCGTGCACCGTGTGTATACCTATACGCACCTTATTTTTAGAAGACTCACAAGTTATTAACCCCCTCCGACTTGCTTTTGCTGGTATATACTCTATACACAGAGACGGGCTCACGGAAAGTCATCAGAGTACAATGTGTATGGGTATACAGAGGGTTCCCTTCCTTTTTTTTTTTTTTTTTTCCTTCTCTCCATGGGCTATCATCGTTTACGAGAGGTTTCACCTTCTCCTTTGACGCCCTTCTCCGCATTCTTTGGCTCCGTTCTCTCTCTCTTTCTCGAGGAAACTTCAAGTGCAGAGCGAGGCCGTGGAAAGGGTGCGACGGATGCACTGTGTGTGTTGTGACGGAAACGCGTGACCGAGTGCTTCACTATACGCGTCGCTCGAGACTTGTTGGCGATGCGGAAATTAAAAAAAAAAAAAAAAAAGTCTCTTTCTTCGCGATATTGTGTACAAGAAAACAAAAAAGCTTCGCGCATTTCGTTGAAAAATGCAATATGATTTTTTTTTTTTTTTTTTTTTTTTTACAAGAGAACAGAGAGCGGGCGACTTTTATCATTGTGTTTTCTATTTGCTCTCTCGCAGATGCTTCTACTTTGTTTTAATTGTAAAAACACTCCTCGTTCGAATTGTTACGCCGAGAGAACGGAAATAATAAACGTTATCGAGAAATTCCAGCAAAAATTACCATCCCGCTCGGTAAATCGGATGCAAGCTCAGGAAAAATTGCAGTTTCAATAGTTCGAATTTTGGTTGGAGCGGTAAAAATTACCACGATATAATAGTCAAGCTCGAAAGGATCGGTTAATAAATTTTACTTTCCCGTATATAGAAATTTTTCTTCTTTCAACCATAATGACAACTATTTAAACTATAATTTTTAATGTTGAAATTTCACACGGCCAAATTATTCGTTACATAATATACATGATGAGCTTTCCGATTGTAATGTACCTACCCGAACGAGTCACGGTCATGCTGCGACAACAGATCCAACGAAATCTCAACGAGACCCCCGAAGCTTATTAGCAAATATCCGTCATCTTCACTGTTCTCCAATAATTTTTCATATTTTTACACGTGATGTATAGTCGGAACGTGTTGCTATTGTTTATCAAATATTATTAAAAAATGCGCATCTATGACGCAACAACGAAAACGGCAAAAACACTGTACACACACGATTGATACCCTCGTGCTTTCCGTTCGCAGGGCAAAAGAGAGGAAAAACCGTCGAGCCATCACCGGCGTGGGGTCAAGGTTGTCCCGTGAAAAAAAAAAAAAAGAAAGAGTCGAGGGTAAAGGTCGTCGCGCTCGGGCGCATCCCGACAACATGAACAGGAGCCAGCACCAGCAGGTACTCCGGCACCAGCCGAACCTCGTGGTACTGCTGCCAAACAGCAGCCACCTGCACAGCTACAACCGCCCACCGTCCGCGAGCAGCCCCTCGGCCAGCCCGTCCCACATACCCGTCCCAAAGTCATCCTCACCGGGAGCACAATCGCGCCCCGGGACCTTCACGCAGGAGCGCTCAAGATCTCTGACCAACAACAACACCACCACCACCACCAACAACAACAACAACAACATTTGCAACTCGTCCCACCTGTACCAACAGCAGCATCCGGCGAGCGAAAACGCTGGCGGGAGAAAATCAATGTCCGTGGCAGCGCAGAGGGCGGCTTTCGAGAGACTAGACGCCCAAGCGAGCCAACAGTCGCAGCCGAGCCACACTCCCGTCAAGGTGATCGGGAGCTATCAGAGGAGCCCCAGTGGTACCAGTACCCCCAACGGGATCGGCTATTGCAGCCAACGCTCGGATTCCGGGTCCACGTCCTCGGTGAACTGTACCGGCTGGGCTCCAAAGTCCAACGACAGCTTACAGGAGGCGGCCAGATGGAGGTCTAAGTTCGACGAGGCCGAGAAACGAAGGAAGATGCTCCTCCAGAAGAGCGAAGCCGGTACGCATTGACTTGTATTTTTCAACAACAACTCACCCTGTATGAATACTGGTAAGGGTGTATTTTCCGAGGGAGTCTTTATTTTTTGGGTGGGGGGTGGAGAAGGGGTGGCCCCCTCGCCCACCCCTGGGGAGCACGCGCTCCGAATTTCGTTCATCGCGCCCTTTTTTTCTTTTCCGTTACGTAACGCGTTGGAAAATTTAGCGGGAAAGATGGAGCTTTCGGGTTGGCCGGGTGGATGTGCCACGGCTGCGCGCTTTCGTGAGCTTGCGAGGGTGAAAGTGGGTCACGCATCCGAACGCAGGTGTGGAGGGAGGAAATTACATCTGTGCACCGTGTGTGTACGTGTTGCCTCCCTCGCTTGGAATTTCGAGCTTTTGGCTCTTTTTTTTTCCAAGATTTATGCGCTTGTACACGCGTAACGGGCCGATGTTGGAAATCGATGCGCGAGAAGCTGCGTGTTGGGTTTGAGGTGGGGGGGGGGGACTAAAAACCCTCTAAAGGCTCGATTTTTTTTTTTTTTTTTTTTTTCAACTGATGATGGAAATCGAGTACCACTGGTCTTTTTGATAAATAGATATCTGCGTGAACAAAAATAATTAAAAACTCGCTCCGTTCTTTTGAGGAGTTAAAAAACTACGTTTACATTTACTCGAAGATACGCGGGAACCGAACCACCACCTTATCAATGAAAAAAAAAAACAAAAAACAAAGAAAACCTGATTTCTAAATTCATTGACTTTTAATTGGTGTTCAATTGTATGCGCTTTTGTGTCTTAATCGTTTACGAAAGTGATAAAGAAAAGTAGATACAACATCGCTGGAATGAATTTTTATTCAGCGTATACGAGAGTCATTAAAATAAATTTCTATTTATATCTTCGTTGAATACCACTTGAATCACTATTTTCCTTATCAGAAATTTTACATAATAATTACTAATTAAATATACTTTCTTGGATTCGACGATAAACGACGTATGTCTTTTTTTTACATATATTCATCATTACTATTTAAAAATAATTAGCCCAAAACAAAACAAATGTAGCTCATTATGAGTCAGTGTGCTAGGGAAAAGAAAACGATAATTTATGTTACTGATGATAAGAATTTTATTTAGAGTCAACCAACGAGAAAACGAATGATTTTTTTTTTTTTTTTTACGTAAATTTCACATGTATGTAATTAAATAGTACCGTCACAATCATTTTTCGGTTTGTCAACTGAAGGTTCCTCATCCGTTCGGAGCATCAAGACATTTCCAATCGACCGGTGCAACCCGTATCTTCTTCAAAATTAATTCTCAACACGAAAACAACAAAAAAAATCCTTGACGGCTCCAATGACATCACGACGTGAAAAAGCCAAGCAGGTTCCTTGACTGAGAAACGAGAAAAATCACCTTGCCGCATAATCATTATTTATTCGTGACGAGGTCGATACCCTCGTAAACAGGGAGATCTGAAAATTAGGGGCGAAAAAATTTTATTCCCCCTCTTTTTCACATCAACCCCTAAAAAAAGAATCAGAACGTTTTTAGGTCCCTTAGCTGGATACTCTGAAAGTGTAATAAGCAATAAAAAAGAAGAAAAATAAACGCACGTACGAAAACGAAACACGTTACGTGTGTAAGGTCGCGATTGCGCGTCAAAGAGAGGATATGCAGGCGCCTTGGGACGCGTCTCCTCGGGAAAAATGTGATTCACGCTCAACATGCAGATCACAGCACAAAGGCGCGTGTTAGTCACGGGCGAGGGACTTTTTTTTTTTTATGCTCTTTGCAATCAAATTGTCACCACTGTGGCTGTGTTTTCGATCTATTTTTTTGCACCTGCGAAATTAATTTTTTTTCAACTGAGGGAGGCACGATGGCAATCAATGACTAAAAAATACAGCAGCTTGGCAGAGCTCACAAAACGCAACGATTGACATTCGACGAGGCATATGACTCACACCACACCAGTGATACAAAAATATAAATACTCCAACTGTATCGGAGAAAACAAAAAAACGCCACTGATTACCCTTCTCGCGCCGAGTGTGCAGTTTCGATAAAAGCTCCCTCGTTTCGATCGAAGCCAACGAAGCTCGACGCAGTTCTATACTAATAAATATACGTTTTTTTGTTTTGTTTTTTTTTTCCATCCAAATCCATACGTTCGTTGGTGTATAAAACTACACGTTTTTTGTTTTTTTTTTTTTTTTTTTTTTTGCAAAGGTTTCGGGAGAAAAAACAGATGATCCGATGTTCGTATTGCCTCGCGGTTGATTCGTTCATTGCGAGGACGTTAATATTTTGTCGGTGGTGCCGATGCGAGCGTAACGGGGGTTNTTTGGTTTTTTTTTTTTTTTTTTTCTACATATATACACACGCGAAATCAACATTTTTCTATTTTTCTGCGCAGTCAACAGAGATTGTGCCGATCTGGAGAGAAAGTACCAACAGCTGCTCAGGCAAAATGGCACGCTGCAGACGCAAGTGCAGGAAAAAACCGGGGAACTCGAGAAAATACGAACAGGTATGAAGAGCGCTCGTCCGACTCGTCACATCTTTATTACGTGTGCCGTTGTACATTTATAATCTCTTGTCACGATGGCCAGAAAAACGATAGGCAACAAGTTGTTCTGTACATTGTACGGAAAAAGAAAAAAAAAAAAAAAGATATCATTTTGTATTTTTGTAGTAAGGACAAAACTTTCGAAAGCGCAAATTAATCATGTTCATCCAACAATGGGACACTTTATGTACATTACACCCGTGAACTTGTCCATCACACACTCGCAGGAATACAAAAGATCATATACTTACCTCATTAACTATAAACCGTGACCCCTTGAATTGATGTATTGTTTTTGTTTTTTTTTTTTTTTTTTCTTTTCACGTGTCCCACAATTACAACACGGCTGCAGTTTCCGAGGCGGTGTGCAAGGAGTACGAGCAACTCAAGAGGCAATACGACGTCGAGACTGGAGCTATGCACAAGGCCATGCAGCAGGCCTCCCAAGTAGGTCGAACGCGCGACGTGTTCTTTTCTTCTTCTCCTCCTCCTCCTCCTCTTTCTTGGACTTCTAAGTGCTTCTTGTCTCTCTTTTGTGAATCCCTCGTTTTCTCATGCGCGACAATTGAACCGGCGCGCGACGGAGGTCAACTTGACGATCAATCGTATGACACGTGTGTGTATAGTTTCGAGTTTCAGCCGGATGATGTTGGTCCGGGGAGTAAGACGTTTTTTCCTCGCTAAGATGATAGATGATAGATGTGCTCTTTAGGAGTACAAGTTTAATTTATTTACGGGTTTCGAGAAATCAAACATATGAACTTTAATTGATTCTTATTTTTTACGAGGGCTGTACCGATCTATGAAAAAAAAAGAAATGAAAATTCATCATCCCGCGTGGCACGGTTTAATTAAAAAATGCTTCCATTGTGAAATGATTGCGTTGACGGGGAGCGACTTGTTGAAATTGCTGAAACGTTTGCAGTGGTACAGACAAAACCGAGAGCTGAAGAGGCGCTCCCAGGTGATAACCCAGAGGTACCTCCAGACGAACCCGGAAGTCCTCGAGGACTTTCTCGAAGTGTCGGACGAGGTCGACAACCAGAACGAAGACATCGAGCAGCTTCGCGAAAGCGTGACCGGTAAGGAAAAAAATGTTGATAAAATGGCAAAATTACCACTGCGTCTAATGGAATTACCGGAATGTATCCGTAGAGCTCAGCAAGGAAGTCGCGAAACTCCAGACGGAACTCAGCGCGGCGAGGCTGCAGGAGTTCGAGGCTCAGGAGCAGGTGACGCTGTTGACATCTCGATTGGAGGAGGAGAAGCAAGCCAGGCAAAATGGTGAGTTGTGGAGATGAGGGAAACAAAAAAAAAATGGAACCTAAGCCCTAAACTTTCTTTAATCTTGTAGAACAGGAAAAAATGCGAGAGCTGTCGGTGCAAAAGGAGAACTTGGAGCGCGTGACCAAGATGGTCGCGGACGAGGTGCAGGTGCTCAAAACCCAGTGCGACCGGGAGCGGGAGGGCGCGAGGCTGCTCAAGCTGGAAGCCGACAGAGTGAGTCAATGATTAACAGTAAAAACAAAAAAAAAACAAAAAAAAAAAGAATCGGTGATCCAATTGGCACATCCCAACGCAGGCCCAAAAGGAGCGTAGCGTGCTGGCGCACCAGTCGGCGCTGCTGATGGCCGATGTGGGCGACGACCCGAGCAATCGGCTGCTGGTGGTCCTCCAGGAAGTGGAGAGCCTGAAGCGAGCCCTCGAGGAGGAGAAGCAGTCCCGGGCGTCCGAGGTCCAAGCGCTGCAGGACAAGCTTGAGGAGAAGGAGTCAAACGTCGAGTTCGAGATCGTCGAGGAGAAGCTCAAGTTGTCCGAGTCCGAGCTCGAGATGGTGGTCCAGAGGGCGGAGAGAGCCGAGAGCACTGTCGAGGATCTTCGCCAGCGCGTGGCCGAGCTCGAGGAGAAGCTCGTAAAAAGGACTGCCGCTCCACCACCGCCTCCGCTTCCACCCCCGCCGCCACCGCCGCCACCGATGATGGCGAATGGCTCGACGTCGTCCATCAAGTTGATCACCAGGGAGAGGATGGCCGTGCCCGGGGACGGTGATGGCTCGGCGCTCGAGAGCATGGAGAACATGCTCGGCATCAAAAAGTCGGCGCCGATGGCGCAGCAGCAACCTGGTGGGTTATACTTTGACACGCGGTGATTTACGCAGTGGAATATAATTGTTGCGCTTTTTCACACAGCCATCGACGACATAATCAATCAAATCAAGGGAGGAAGGTTCACGTTGAAACACACAGATGTAAGCGTCGATCTTTAGGGTCTTTAAATGCTTGACCTTAGTGATTGGGGGTGTAACAAGTGTTGATTTCAAAAAATAAATTTTCAGAAACAGAAGGACGAGGAGAGAAGACGCAAGCAGGAAGAGGAGTCCAAGCCACCAGCCGTGTCGGAAATGCTAAATATCCTGGGTACGATGAGGCGAAGAGCGAAACCAACGCGGACTTCCTTCAAGTTTTCAAACGGACCATTGTGATAGACCATGTTACATAATACTTATAAATATATACATTTTAATTGTATACGATACATGTATATGAAATAATTAAGTTAACGTTAAGGAACTGCCAGCTTTTACATGATGTTATTATTATAGGATTTATTATTATACATTTATAAATACAAGTATAAATCGTTTTCGTTACAAGTGCACGTATTTCTAATGACTCTTTCCTCAGACTTTTGACTGTCATAGACAAGAAACCATGAATAATTAAGCCTTGGTCGAAATTACTAAGATGGCAAGTAAAAAACGTACAAAATATCGTTCCTCGCAACAAAAATATACAATCTCCGAACGCGATTTGTTTAAAAATACATTATCATCAAGTAGGATTTTGTGCAAGTTTAACCAATTTTAGATTTAACCTTCCTTATTATTTCTGGCAGTTTCGACGCCTCAAACAGCAATACTCGCCTGTACGATACCAACTCGTCGTCATCTTCAGTCCACGTGCCAGTCAAACCATTATCTGACTCTGTCTCGACTGAAAATTCAAAACTACAAACTGCATCCTCGGCGAATATCTCTTCTTCTGGATTGCTCCAAATAACGTCATACTCTTCATCATTGTTTCTCTTGTCTTTGCCCTTCTTCCTGTTCTCTTCCTTGGCTTTCTTCAGTTTGCAAATCAATATGTAGTATGAAAAGTCAAATGGCATTTTCTTTTGAGCGGCTCGTTTCACTTCCGAGAGGAGATTTTCGAGAAGTGGCACTGAAATTTGTGCGGGTATGTTGATAAATCGCTCGTTGATCAAGAGGCCCAGAGGAGCGGAGTCATTTTCGAGAACGCTTTTGATCATAGTGTTGGTAGCATCTGTGGCATGCTCCTCGGCATGATCTCTTAATAAATCCCTGAGTTGCTTGATGCATGGAACATTCTGAAAGTTTATTTTAATTAGAACGAAGCTAGGTGAGGGGCGATCGTAAGTGAAAAGATAAGACTTTGTCATGTACCTGTCTCTCAGAAATGTTAAGAACAGTAGTGATTCCAAAAACTTCCTGACCAGTGCTTTCCTCATCATCGGAATTCTCATCGTCATCGTCAGCCTGTGTGACAACTGAGCCTACGTAATTTTGAGAAATAATCAAGTCAGCCAGGCCTCCAAGGTCTAAGTGAGCTTTTAAGAACAGCTGCTGCAAGAAATTCTTGATTCTATGGAAGTCCGGATCTTGAGGATTACGTCCTTCAAATTCAACTTGGATCTCCATACCCTTAAAATTGATGATACTTAAATGAGTACACGTTTTATAATAACAAAGGAAATTTTATCTATTACATCTTGTTACGACAATATTAAATCATAATAATACACTCAAAGTGCACAAAGTTTTCAATTTTTAATCACCAGAGATGATACGATGTTAGAATACTTTCCAAAAAAATGTATACACCTGACACCAATGTAGTAAATATAGGCCCCTGCAAATAGATTACTGTACGTGCATAACAAATAAAACAACCGGCTCGCAAATATGCCTAAGAAACTTTGACGAAACGAAAGTACGATAATGTATACCGTGCGTCATGTTAATAACTTGCAAGGTTATACTCCAAAATTTAGAAAAATGAACCTTACGATAAATAAAAACAACAAATACATAGAAATGTCAACACAAGACGCGATTGGTGATTTAGGTTAGAAACACGTGGTGCATTCCCAGACGGCAGCGGTATCAGCAACGCCCCAGGAGAGATTGCTCACCTGCTCGACCTCCTCTTCATCTTCCTCGTCCGATTCCTCGGTACTGTGATCTTCGTCATCCTCGATTTCCTCCTGGATTTCCCGTCTCTTAATTGGTCCCGACATATTTCTCGGTTTGTCTTTTTACACAACACCTCTGACAGCACGACACTTTTGAAAGCAGAAAACTGCAATAATTCGGTTCAGTTCGGGGCAGTGTGGGGTAAGTTGGGTAACCGAAAATGGGGTTATTTGGGTTACTATGCTCGGGTTTTAGGATAAACACCATCCACACAAAGGTTAATGAGGGTATCAGTAACAATGTTTCACGAGATTAATTGTCTATCGTTGTTATCCATATAGACTCATATATTATATATTAACGAAGTCTATTTTATGTGTTTCGACCAATAGACGATTATTCAGAGTGAAAAAAGAGAAAAGTACGTGACTGTGTTGACTAATTTTTAGAGATAAATGAAACAATTTATATAAATTATGGTGGAAGAATTTTTTTTAAATGTTATGTGATTAACAGTTTAAATTCTTGAATGTTGCAGGAAATAACCAATAATTACAAATTGATAAATCCTCCCGATGATATTCTGCGAATTTTCATAACATTATTGACTAATTTTTAGAGATAAATGAAACAATTTATATAAATTATGGTGGAAGAATTTTTTTTAAATGTTATGTGATTAACAGTTTAAATTCTTGAATGTTGCAGGAAATAACCAATAATTACAAATTGATAAATCCTCCCGATGATATTCTGCGAATTTTCATAACATTTTACAAAAAATTACAAGAAATATTTTTTACCTGTATGATTTCTCATGCTAAATTTAAGTCGTTAAGCTTTTTGTTCCGTTAAAATTATAAGGTAAAACAACTAAACTTTTAAAATGATTCAATACATTCAAAAAATTAAACTTTTACATACAAGGTATCAAATATTACGATTGTTGTCAGAGCAACGTGTATGATTGTCACATACGATATGAATTATAATATCATTTCAATGACGTAAAGGAACGCTGTTAATTGTATATTTCATTATTTTTTTGTTTTTCCAGCATAGAAACAATTACTTGTATCTAACAGAAATATAAAAAAAGATCAGCTTGTTTATTTGTTCATGCACTTTTAACGTTATTAGAATCAGTTGATTTAACTAATTAATGCTACGTAAAATAACCATAAAATTAGTTGTCTGTAAGATATTAAAGAATCGACACTTGCCACGTTTGAAAATTAAAACGTCAGCAAAAAAAGGAAAATTGCAACTTTTGCGATAAATCGCCGCATCTAGTCACCATATATTATATACATCAAAGCAGAAAGTTTTACTTGATTGCGCACTTGATTAATTTTCATGGAATTTAAAGTATACGTATAGTACACTTATATATTGTGAGGAAGCCAGTGTATGCTTATCTTTCTTTTTTCCTTAAAACAATCGAAATAGATTTTCTTATCGTTATTGGAATGTTATTGTACGCGTAAATGACCCAAGCGTTTGTCAACTCGTATAGGTCAACTTGAGATCTTCTATCAAATACGACATTGTTTTCGAGGAAATAAATAGTTGGTAATTAATTGTCGTTTTAATGGTTGTCTTTCACGATCAATTGACATTAAGCTCATCGGAGCCGAAAAAAAAAAAAAAAAAAAATAGATCGCTGCGTGTGTTGAGTAAAATAAATAATTTAACAATTTTTATAATAATGTTTTGTTTTAATTTTAACATCGTTATGATGGATTATGAAATAAAATGTGCTCTTGACGGTTTTAACGTAAAAAAAAAATAAAATAATAAACAAGTTGCTCAACAATAAAATTTCATTTAACATCAGATGTCGTATTTTTCAAACTGCTTTGCAAGAAAGAGACAATTCGTGCATCGAGTAAAAGAGTAACGAAAAAGTAAAAGTGCCTCATCATCAATATCCCGTGACTTTCGGCTTTGCGTGACAATACGAACTATACGATATTAGAAAATCATGCGTCATAATAATAGACAGATGTACGCATGGGTACACTTACGCGGCTTCCAACACAAGCGTCACAAAATATAGTAGTATTCATCACCATCAATTTCCCACCCGGTACCCATTTAGGTGTACACTTTGCTCAAGCACGCGATGAAAAAAAAAAAGTCAGAGAGAGGGCAAGTGTACGGTTGTATATATGCGCGTACGGGCATATTTTATCGATCACAAATTCGCGAGTCCGAACGCGCGAACCCGAGTCATGCGCCCCGAGCAAGAAGCCCAACGCGCACGCGGACATATACATATATATATATATATAGCAAGTTTAACCAATTTTAGA